CTTAAAGTGGCGTTTAGAGCTGTGCCATATTATTGTTGTGGATCAATGTCCAGGTATACTGTCATGTGATGCTGCTAGCGTGATGGAGTAGGACCTGGACATATGTCACTTGGAGGGTGACTTTGATTGGGGAAGAGTACTGTCTGTGGGAACTGGAAATGCTTTGAATAACATGTTCTGTGTCATTGCTGAAGTACCGGAGAATGTCCATTTAGCTGGAGATCTCATTTCCCATGACGTATCATAGAGGATGCCAGTAGAAAACCTTGAGAAGAGGCCTGATGCAGAACTAGTTGCTCAGGATTATTTATGGGCCTCTATAAGTTTTCCATATCCTTGCACCTTTTTGTCCTTCGTGGTATTCCTGTGTGATGTGAAGACATCTGCCATAAGTTCCTTTAATCATTTCCTCCTGAACATGATATGCTGTTTGTCAAACAGGCGTTTTTTGAAATTTGGATCACTTCGTCTGCCCTCTGTAAAGGTCATCTTGGTCACCTCTCTGCTCAACTCTTTGCTTTCTGGGCAGGGGAAAAAGTGCTCTCCATATTCAAGACATTGGCAAACCTCCTGTTTCTGAACAGTGGAATGGGATCCTTTGGTTTTCTTCTCAGCAAAAACGTGGGAGTTTTAGTTTTTTCTTCTCTCACATTGACAATATGCTGGTAACAGTGGATGAGGTGCAGATGGCAAAATTTTGCAGCTTTCTTTGCAGAGATTTGGGCAGTTGGGCATCAGTGTGGGAGATGTCTTTTCCCACTCTCTCAAGCTGAGGTTGACGTTGAGGGAATGCCCTTAACTTTCAGGGGCCCCTTCTCTTGTGGTAGAAGTGCATAAGGGAGCACTGTGCACTGTCTACTGATTTTGAGGCTTTTGCAGACCATGGATTTATTTTTCCTGTTCAGGTTCTCCAGAACTCTTTGATAATGTTAAGGGGAAGTGTCCCTTAGAACCAATTCTCCTGTCCTGAAAATGTTTCTTATTCTGAAGAAGCAAGCATTGATGCTACAGATAAATCAATGATACCTAAAGAAGATGCGTTTGAGAGACAGATGCACTTTTGTTCCTGTTCAGTCATCATTTCTTTGTGTTGGGTATACTGAATGTTGACTGGATTGTAAGTAAGGTCTGTAGGTCTGGAGAAGTAAAGCACCATGGCCTGCTCTCATTCATTTCCTTCCACTTCTGACACAGCATGGGCAGACAGCAGCAAGCATGTAGAGAGGAGGGACCCAATGCATTTCTCTGAGTGGCTGTATTGGGTGTCATGGGGATGTAAATGTGTGTTGTTACCTTGGTGGCTTCTGTTTTTCTGTGTAACATGTGGCACACGCTAATGAAGGTCGAGGCTAATGCTACTGGATACTGAAGGCTGGAAGCATAGATTTTCATTGAGACACATGGAGAGTGCGCAGGAGCTGTGGCAGCCCCGTGCTTTTTCAGCCTTCTTAGACCGTTGTTATGCTGGGCTATTCCAGGTTTGAATTCCTGAATGAAAGTCACTCCTGCATAGCTTGAAAAATTGGGAGTCTGTTTGCGGTGATGTCCAAGTAGCTGGGGCTTGGGCTTGTGTTTCAGAAGATGGGGGAATTCGTCGTGGTGCAGATCTGTTCTTTGTATATGATTACCTTCCTGTGTTATTTGCTGGGTCCTCGAGTGGACTGGAGGCTGAAGACTGCGGTCTTCTTCCAAAGGTGAATGGGAGGGCAGATGATGGGGCGATCTGTCTGTCTTGCATAGACCATAGGAAAGCAGGAAATTTGTTCCCGATCCCGAGGCATGGAAAGTGAAGGGAGGAGGAATGAGAAATCTTGCAATATGGCATTTCCATGCTCATGGCAAGTGCGGTAACTATTTTGGTAAATGGGAAAAACAAAGGAAGAGAGAAGGACAGAAGCAGAAGAGAAAGTGGAGGCAAGAATGGGGTAGAACAGACCAGGAAAGAAAAATGACAAGGAATAAAAGATGGAGAAAAGAGAAAATAGATAAAGAAGAGAAAGGAAGAGAGGATCAACCAGAAATGAAGCAGCACAGAAGGAGAAAGGAAGCAGGAAATGAAGGAATCTTTGCAAGGAACAAGCAAGTAAAGAAGAAAGGAGGAAGAATCATAGAATCGTAGAATGGTGAGAAAGGAAGGATGGTAAGATACGATTACCAGCACGCACCAGTGTTATCTCTGCGTGGTTAAAAGTGGTGAGGATTTCAGCAACTTTGATACTCGGGGACGCGGTGTAAGTCTTGATTAAATGAATGAAGGAAGAAGAAAGAGCTCTTGCCTGAAGGCATGTCCGTGCTCGATGGAGGGTGTGACGTAGTCATATAAAAACCATATTGGTAAAGGAGAAAAAGAAGAGGCAAAGAGGGAAGAAAAGGGCAGAAGAGGAAAGAGAAGATAAGGAGAAAGAGTAAAAAGGAGTAAGGGGAAAGAGAAGAGGAGGAAGGAGCGAGGAATATAGAGATTAAAAAGTAAATAACAATTAATAAACCAATAGAGAGAATGCAGGTATAGAAAGGAGGAAACGGTAAGTTTAGCAGTCTGTAGTAGTCCGTGGTAGTTTAGTAGCCCATCGGTGACAGACGCCGTCACTGTACATTGAAAGGAAGGCATAGAGAGAAAGAAAGAAGGAAAGATAGAAAGAGGAAAAAAAAAAAAAAAAGAAATAGAAAGCAAGGAAGGATGAAATGAAGCAACGAAGTAATCAAGGAGGGAAGATGGAAAAGAAAGAAATCATAAAGGAGACAACTAGGGTGCAGCGCCATTTACAGCCTCCCCCTCTGCTGCAGTACAGCGCTCGGGAACTAATGCCCCGTAATTACCGCTAATGGTCCCGTCATTGATGGTCTACGCCGAGACGCCGAAGGCGATGGGGAGCTGCCATTGGAGATAAAGAAGAGAGAAGGCTGGAGCAACAAAGGAAAGGAGGATGACGACATGACAGGGAAAAATGGGGATTAGGAAGGTAGAGACGAGGAAAGAGAAGAAAGAAGAGAGGGAAGGAGGAAGAAAAGCAAGTAGAAAAAGAAGATCAAAAGCAGCGAAGAGAAAGGAAGAAAGACTAAGGAAGAAGAAAATAAATGCAGAAAGGGAAAAAAATGAGGAAAAGAAAAAAGAGTGAAGAAGGAAGAAAAGCAGAGATTAAAGGAGCGAAGAGAAAGGAAGAAAGACTAAGGAAGAAGAAAAGGAAGAAGGAAAGAAATGAGGAAAGGAAAAAAAAAATGAGGAAAAGAAAGAAGAGAAAGAATGAGGAGAACGGAAGACAGAGGCGAGAGAGGAGCTGATGAACCCGGGTCCGGAGGAGCAGTGGGCGTTGTGGAGGGTGTGAGGCGTCGTCGGAGCACACGGTGTCGCTGCAGGCTCAGAAACGGCGGCGGAGCGAGCGGGGCGCTGGTGGTGAGCTCGCGGCTGGACCGGGAGGAGCTGTGCGGGAAGAGCGCGCCGTGCGCCCTGCGGCTGGAGGTGCTGGTGGAGCGGCCGCTGCGCGTCTTCCACGTGGAGCTGGAGGTGACCGACATCAACGACAACGCCCCGGTCTTCCCCGCCGCACGAAAAAACCTCAGCATCCCGGAATTAAACACGCTGCCGGGTTCCCGTTTCCCGCTGGAGGGCGCGTCGGATGCAGATGTGGGCGCCAACGCGCAGCTCTCCTACACACTCAGCCCAAACGAGCACTTCTCTCTGGATTCGCACAAAACCGAGGAGGACGGTGAGTCCTTATTCCTGGTGCTCAGGAAACCGCTGGACCGCGAGACGGTGCCCGTGCACCGGTTGGTGTTGACGGCGAGTGACGGGGGCCGTCCGTCGCTGACGGGCACGATGGAGCTGGTGATCTCGGTGCTGGACGCCAACGACAACGCGCCCCAGTTCAACCAGTCGGTGTATAGAGTGCAGCTGCCTGAAAATACGGAACGAGGCACTTTAGTGATCAGAGTAAACGCCACAGATTTGGATGAGGGGACGAACGCGAATATCTCGTACTCTCTGCAGCACTTGTTTCCTCAGGATGGAAGAGAAGTTTTCGGGATCGACAGAAACAGCGGAGAGATCCGCCTTAGAGGTGACTTGGACTTTGAGGATGTCGGTCTCTATCGGCTGCAAGTGGATGCGTCAGACCAGGGAAACCCCCCGCTGTCGGGTCACTGCAAGGTGGTGTTGGAAGTGCTGGACGTGAACGATAACGCGCCGGAGGTGTGGGTGACGTCGCTGTCGGTGCCGGTGCCGGAGGACGCGTCGTTGGGGACGGTGGTGGCGCTGCTGAGCGTGTCGGACGGCGACTCGGGGGCGAACGGTCGGGTGCGGTGCGCGGTGTGGCCGGCGTCGCCGTTCGGTCTGGTGTCGAGGTTCGCGGGGTCGTACTCGCTGGTGCTGCGGGAGGCGCTGGACCGGGAGCGGGTGTCGGAGTACGAGGTGGAGGTGCGCGCGGAGGACGGCGGGTCGCCGCCGCTGCGCGCCAGGCGCGGGGTGCGCGTGCCGGTGTCGGACGTGAACGACAACGCGCCGTCGTTCCTGCAGGCCGTGTACACGGTGCTGGCGCGGGAGAACAACGCGGCGGGCGCGGAGCTGGGGCGCGTGTGGGCGCGGGACCCGGACGAGGCGGGCAACGGTCGCGTGAGCTACTCGCTGTGGGAGGGCGGCGTCGGGGGCGCGTCGGCGTCGTCGGGGTGGCGCGCGGCGTCGAGCTACGTGTCGGTGGAGGCGGAGAGCGGTCGGGTGTGGGCGCTGCAGCCGCTGGACTACGAGGAGGTGCAGGTGCTGCAGTTCGAGGTGCGTGCGGTGGACGCGGGGGATCCGCCGCTGAGCGGCAACGCCACGGTGCAGGTGTTCGTGGTGGACGAGAACGACAACGCGCCGGCGCTGCTGCCGTCGTCGGTGGGCGGTGGCTGGGGCGGGTCGTCGTCGATGGAGGTGGAGGCGGTGGCGGCGGGGTCGCTGTGGGCGTGGGCGTCGTGGGGCGCGCCGGCGGGTCAGGTGGTGGCGAAGATCCGTGCGGTGGACGCGGACTCGGGCTACAACGCGTGGCTGCGGTACGAGTTGTGGGAGCCGCGTGGGAAGGGCCCGTTCCGCGTGGGTCTGTACAGCGGCGAGGTGACGACGTCGCGGGCGCTGGAGGAGGCGGACGGTCCGCGTCAGAGGCTGGTGATCGTGGTGCGGGACCACGGGGAGCCGTCGCGCTCGGCCACGGCCACGCTGAGCGTGTCGCTGGTGGAGGGCGGCGAGGCGGCGGCGGCGGCGTCGGGGGGCTCTTCGTCGTCGTCGTCGTCGTCGGGTCTGCGTCCGTGGTCGTGGTCGGAGGGCGTTGGGTCGTCGTCGGGAGCGTCGTCGACGAACGTGTGGCTGGTGGTGGCGATCTGCGCGGTGTCGAGCGTGTTCCTGCTGGCGGTGGTGCTGTACGGGGCGTCGCGGTGGGCGCCGCGGGCGGCCGTGCTGTCGGGGGCCGGTCCGGCGACGCTGGTGTGCGCCAGCGAAGTGGGGAGCTGGTCGTACTCGCAGCGCCAGAGCCGGAGCCTGTGCGTGGCGGAGGGCGCGGGCAAGAGCGACCTGATGGTTTTCAGCCCCAACTTCCCGCCGCCGCCCGGCCCCGCGGCGAAGGAGACGCAGCCGGAGCCGCCCGCTCTGCTGGACACGGTCAGTGCCCGCCCGTTATCGCCTCTCGCCCCTTCCCCCGACCCCTCCTCCCTCCTTCTCGCCCTCGTGTGCCTTGTGTCCCCGGGCAGTCGCTGTTGGGAGTCGGGCTGCGTGGGCGGGTCGGGCGGTGGGTGGGTGGGTGTTTGTCGGGTGCTTAAGGATGTGAATGGCACCTTTACATCTGCATCCGCGTCTCTGCTCGAGTCCCCTGCGTCCTGCTTTGGGGGAAATATAAAGTTGCTGCCGCACCCCGCAGTAGTTACGGTCCGCTGCCGAGATTTTCTGTTGTCGGTGTGAGTTTTATCCCCTAAAATCAGTTCACTGCTCATTGCGATAAGAAATGAGGCGATATCGATTTTCGAGACGCTCTTGCTTGCCCGTGTGTAGCGTTTCCACCCGAGTTTGCTGGATGCGTACAAGACACGGAGGCTGCGGTAATGACAATTCCCAAGGCTCTATTTAGTGCCTTGTTTCCGTTGTTGGGTGCTGATCGTGCCGGTATCAGCTGTGGTTTCTTACCGAAAACTCCGTGTTCCTCCTCTGTGATTGTTCTCTGAGAAACACGTGATTCGACGTGACTAATGAGGCTTCAGGTATTTCTTTCCCCGTGGTTTAATTTCTCCCTTTTGTTTCGCCCAGGAGACTGAACAAGAAAGTCGTGGAGACCATTTCCTGTGTTCTTTTAGATGTATCTTGTAGGCATAATTATTATTATATGGTGTTCCGGGAGAGGAGTAAAAAGCAAAGAAGTGTTTCAAACTGGCACTTCGTTTCTCTTTTGCTGCTCCCCGCACCCTTGAGCTTGTGGATTCGCATTCTTGGCGGGAGATGTAGCTTGAAATATGCTGGCCTGTTATGCTGTTCTTTCAAAGTTTCTATTAACAGCCACAACGTTTCAAACGCTCTGGAAATCTGAAAAACCACGAAAAGAACAATAAGAAAAAAAAATCCTAAACCGAAAGAACAACCTTCCCGACAAACCCCAAGTCTAATTCTCCTACACAGTCTGTATCATCCCTTGACGGTGGTGTGCTCATCAGCTTTTGGGTTTTTCTTTCAGAGCATTAAATCAGTGCCATTGCCAGTAAGAGCTGTCCTGACGTCACCTTTAGAAAGAGTATTGCTCCCTGGTCTGCCACATTTGCATCTGAGGGAGCTGAAGCATTTCCAAACATGATGGGTCAGCAGCAAAAAGTCTGCTGGACACGGTGTATGTGATACCATCTGTATGTTTCTTTATGGTGCTCTCATTGATCCAAAGGGTAAGCAAAAGTCAGATTTTGAGGCTTGAGGTGGGAGAGATATCTGTGGCATGTGGCAGGGGTGAATGTGGCAGTGGCCCTGCGTAGGTCCTGTCCATTGCCTGATGTGAAGGATGGAAAACCTTGGGAAGACTGTGGGTTGTGTCATAAGAAGACAAAAATGGGAGATGGTGTGCTTGTTTAGAGAACACGTGTCCCAGAGTGGGGAATGGTGGATGCCTAGAGGAAATCCTGATACAGGATGGGCACATTTCATTGATCCAAAGGGTAAGCAAAGGTAGATTTTGAGGCTTGAGGTGGGAGAAATATCTGTGGCATGTGGCAGGGGTGAATGTGGCAGTGGCCCTGCGTAGGTCCTGTCCATTGCCTGATGTGAAGGATGGAAAACCTTGGGAAGACTGTGGGTTGTGTCATAAGAAGACAAAAATGGGAGATGGTGTGCTTGTTTAGAGAACACGTGTCCCAGAGTGGGGAATGGTGGATGCCTAGAGGAAATCCTGATACAGGATGGGCACAGTGTTCTTTCCCAGGATCCTTTCTCAGGCTGCCAAGGTGTCTGGAGTTGAAGGCCTTCTGGATCTTGAGATAGAACATGGTATCAAAATGGCCACAATGTCTTTTGAGGTTATGAATATCTCCCAGCAGAGACAGTCCTTTCTGCTGCTTATAGCCTGATGTAGGCAAAGCGTTGGTAAGAGGGGCTGAAACACACCCTGCTGAATACTCTCCCATGAATCTTTTCCTATTCATACTCCTTTCTGCTGCTTATAGCCTCATGTAGGCAAAGCGTACTTTGCTGCTACTACATACCTGCTGAATACTCTCCCATGAATCTTTTCCCTCTTGTCTTGTGGAGGTTTTTGTGGGAGGGTAGAGCTTCAATCTTCTGTCCTTTTGTAGTGGTGGGCATCTATAGCAGTTTCCACAGCCACTGATGTTGCCATGATGGTTCCTTGCTCCTCCTCAAGCAGCATTTGTAAATGGACATAAGGAGGTCGGTATAACCTCTCTGCTCCTGACTTCCACAACTTATGCACTTGCAGTCGCCTCAGTAGTGATGCTGTGTCCTATTCCACATGGCTTATTCGGATATGTCCACGTACATGCCAAACCCTACACAGCAGCCCAGCTCTGGTTTTCTGAGATATAAATTTTCCCACACAGCTGATATTGTGAGTGTGCTTGGGCTATGGCATTTTTTGTGGTTCTCTCGAATAATATAATCTGTGTGGGCTGGGATTCGAGCTGTCAGAGCTCTTTCACATCTCTAACTACAGAATCTTTAAGAACTGTAATGTGCAGCTGTGTAGACTTTGCATCTGACAGTGCTGCAAAGGCACAAAATATTTTGGGTGAAGTTCAGGTACGTGGGAAGAGTCTTCCAGACAGTGAGTACCTTTGCATCCATCCATATGTTCTTTGTTGCAATCATAAGGGAGGTGAAGATGTGCGAAGGCCTGAGTCATGCTTAAAGTGGCGTTTAGAGCTGTGCCATATTATTGTTGTGGATCAATGTCCAGGTATACTGTCATGTGATGCTGCTAGCGTGATGGAGTAGGACCTGGACATATGTCACTGGGAGGGTGACTTTGATTGGGGAAGAGTCCTGTCTGAGGGAACTGGAAATGCTGTGAATAACATGTTCTGTGTCATTGCTGAAGTACCGGAGAATGTCCATTTAGCTGGAGATCTCATTTCCCATGACGTATCATAGAGGATGCCAGTAGAAAACCTTGAGAAGAGGCCTGATGCAGAACTAGTTGCTCAGGATTATTTATGGGCCTCTATAAGTTTTCCATATCCTTGCACCTTTTTGTCCTTCGTGGTATTCCTGTGTGATGTGAAGACATCTGCCATAAGTTCCTTTAATCATTTCCTCCTGAACATGATATGCTGTTTGTCAAACAGGCGTTTTTTGAAATTTGGATCACTTCGTCTGCCCTCTGTAAAGGTCATCTTGGTCACCTCTCTGCTCAACTCTTTGCTTTCTGGGCAGGGGAAAAAGTGCTCTCCATATTCAAGACATTGGCAAACCTCCTGTTTCTGAACAGTGGAATGGGATCCTTTGGTTTTCTTCTCAGCAAAAACGTGGGAGTTTTAGTTTTTTCTTCTCTCACATTGACAATATGCTGGTAACAGTGGATGAGGTGCAGATGGCAAAATTTTGCAGCTTTCTTTGCAGAGATTTGGGCAGTTGGGCATCAGTGTGGGAGATGTCTTTTCCCACTCTCTCAAGCTGAGGTTGACGTTGAGGGAATGCCCTTAACTTTCAGGGGCCCCTTCTCTTGTGGTAGAAGTGCATAAGGGAGCACTGTGCACTGTCTACTGATTTTGAGGCTTTTGCAGACCATGGATTTATTTTTCCTGTTCAGGTTCTCCAGAACTCTTTGATAATGTTAAGGGGAAGTGTCCCTTAGAACCAATTCTCCTGTCCTGAAAATGTTTCTTATTCTGAAGAAGCAAGCATTGATGCTACAGATAAATCAATGATACCTAAAGAAGATGCGTTTGAGAGACAGATGCACTTTTGTTCCTGTTCAGTCATCATTTCTTTGTGTTGGGTATACTGAATGTTGACTGGATTGTAAGTAAGGTCTGTAGGTCTGGAGAAGTAAAGCACCATGGCCTGCTCTCATTCATTTCCTTCCACTTCTGACACAGCATGAGCAGACAGCAGCAAGCATGTAGAGAGGAGGGACCCAATGCATTTCTCTGAGTGGCTGTATTGGGTGTCATGGGGATGTAAATGTGTGTTGTTACCTTGGTGGCTTCTGTTTTTCTGTGTAACATGTGGCACACGCTAATGAAGGTCGAGGCTAATGCTACTGGATACTGAAGGCTGGAAGCATAGATTTTCATTGAGACACATGGAGAGTGCGCAGGAGCTGTGGCAGCCCCGTGCTTTTTCAGCCTTCTTAGACCGTTGTTATGCTGGGCTATTCCAGGTTTGAATTCCTGAATGAAAGTCACTCCTGCATAGCTTGAAAAATTGGGAGTCTGTTTGCGGTGATGTCCAAGTAGCTGGGGCTTGGGCTTGTGTTTCAGAAGATGGGGGAATTCGTCGTGGTGCAGATCTGTTCTTTGTATATGATTACCTTCCTGTGTTATTTGCTGGGTCCTCGAGTGGACTGGAGGCTGAAGATTGCGGTCTTCTTCCAAAGGGGAATGGGAGGGCAGATGATGGGGCGATCTGTCTGTCTTGCATAGACCATAGGAAAGCAGGAAATTTGTTCCCGATCCCGAGGCATGGAAAGTGAAGGGAGGAGGAATGAGAAATCTTGCAATATGGCATTTCCATGCTCATGGCAAGTGCGGTAACTATTTTGGTAAATGGGAAAAACAAAGGAAGAGAGAAGGACAGAAGCAGAAGAGAAAGTGGAGGCAAGAATGGGGTAGAACAGACCAGGAAAGAAAAATGACAAGGAATAAAAGATGGAGAAAAGAGAAAATAGATAAAGAAGAGAAAGGAAGAGAGGATCAACCAGAAATGAAGCAGCACAGAAGGAGAAAGGAAGCAGGAAATGAAGGAATCTTTGCAAGGAACAAGCAAGTAAAGAAGAAAGAAGGAAGAATCATAGAATCGTAGAATGGTGAGAAAGGAAGGATGGTAAGATACGATTACCAGCACGCACCAGTGTTATCTCTGCGTGGTTAAAAGTGGTGAGGATTTCAGCAACTTTGATACTCGGGGACGCGGTGTAAGTCTTGATTAAATGAATGAAGGAAGAAGAAAGAGCTCTTGCCTGAAGGCATGTCCGTGCTCGATGGAGGGTGTGATGTAGTCATATAAAAACCATATTGGTAAAGGAGAAAAAGAAGAGGCAAAGAGGGAAGAAAAGGGCAGAAGAGGAAAGAGAAGATAAGGAGAAAGAGTAAAAAGGAGTAAGGGGAAAGAGAAGAGGAGGAAGGAGCGAGGAATATAGAGATTAAAAAGTAAATAACAATTAATAAACCAATAGAGAGAATGCAGGTATAGAAAGGAGGAAACGGTAAGTTTAGCAGTCTGTAGTAGTCCGTGGTAGTTTAGTAGCCCATCGGTGACAGACGCCGTCACTGTACATTGAAAGGAAGGCATAGAGAGAAAGAAAGAAGGAAAGATAGAAAGAGGAAAAAAAAAAAAAAAAAGAAAAAGAAAGAAAGAA